AAACACTAGATATCCTCTTTAGATACACCAATGGACATGGTCTAACCTCTAGAAAAGGAGGATGGACGTGTTTTCTGTGATATACAAATACTTCAAAGAGGTGTGTATATACATTTTAACATTTTCTAATTAGCTTCAAAACACCATATAAGTGTTCCACATTACCATAATGATCAATCTCAATTCTCGTTATCTTAGGATCACAAAAATATACCATGATCATTCTTGAAGAGAAGTCTACAATTAAGTAAATTAATATATTTCATAGTCAAACATCATGTTGATCTATTTACCCTTTCGAATCTGTCAATTCCAACCAAGTGGAATCTCTGGGTTCCATGGATTTATCAATATTCGTTGAGCACTCAGTTTCGATTTTCGCTTTACAACCCGGAGAAGAACCATCATCTTCCGTTTTCAACATCTTCGGACCTGCAAATCAGGCAGCCATATATCAATTCGTTAGATACCATATAGTCATTCTGAGATCATATACGAAGCTGCTCAAAGAAGAATAATAATACCTTTTAAGCTTCGATGATTTGAGAGAATTCCCCGAATCGTCTTCTCTCTTTGAGATATCCCAATCTTAACAAGTCTAGATAGAACCTCTCCTATCCCAATCCCCAAGTCGTCCTCAATAATATTGGAGGATTTCGGTGGCTTGGGTAGCCGAGATTTAGATCCGTATACACTTAAAAAAATATCGGAACAAATGAAATTAGTATTTCCAGTTGACCCAAACCATTTTTGTTAGTGAACGGACCGGACCACCTTCTTCTGCTTGACGGAGACAGTTGAAACAACTCCAAAGCTGTAGCTACTCGGTGAAGGTGGATGTCTTCGGCGATTTTCTTGAACATCTCTCTTGTTCCTCGGAGCGTACCTCTCGCGCTCTCTTCTCCGGTCGATCTCTCACTGTCGCCACCTCCTGAAACATCTGCCCAAGACTATTCTCCGATATACCGGGAAGAAAACCATCAGAAAATATTGAGGAATAAAAAGAAAAAAGAAGAAGGAAGTCGAACAAATACGTGAGATTCTCACTTTTAACTTTGTGTTTAATGGTGTGAAGAATCTTGATGGAAAGATAGGTAATTAAGGGAGAATCTTCTCTCCATTGATAGCTTAGCGGTGTTTTCATACGTCATGTAACTTTCATGGATACTCATTTTCGCATCTTATAGAAACAGAATCAAAGTAAGAGCATCATATACTTGTTCGGATCAAGCATGTTGATTAGATACTGCCAAATATATATAATCAAATAATCAACTCAATTATCGCAATTGCAGCTCTTTTAATTTTGATGTGGCCGTGATGTCACGCCTAACTTCCTAAACGAACCTAACTTGTCAAAGACGGCAATTAATCCATTTAATACTAACTTCTCGGTTTAAATAAATAATACTCCTAAAAAAAATCCAACAATTTATTACTTAAAATTCATGTCTCAATTCCACTAACATAACCGTTGAAACAAAAATACCAAAATAAGCAATAAATCATTCGGAAAATAATTAAAACTGTTTTAAGCAACACCGAAATAAAAATCAAGTAATCCATCCCCAAAACCAGCACCAGAACAATCCTCGCCTTGAACTGCTACCTTTCAAGCCTTA